ATTTACCTTTAAATACAGACCATGCTTCTTCAACTGATATGCTAGTATCTACTAACCAATCTTAGTGTGGTGTTTAAGTTACTCAGTTACAATAATCCAGTTACAGGCTGGTGGGCTTATGATAATGATCGTAGTGTCATAAATAATGTTGACAGTAATTATTTTTTAGAAATCCTTCATATACGGTTGCTTCAGCGAAGGACGGTAAGTCATTGGAGTGTTCGTATTCATTAAACCTATCTTAACCCCGTTCATTGAAAAGGTGGTGGTTGCTTCGAAGGAGCATTTTAATTATTGCAAACCATTTATGATAAAACACATGATCTTGCTTTGGCAATGGCTCTCTGATGTTCAACATTTGTTGTTTGCCCCATAAAGCGGTATGTTGATGTTGGTATACGATCTTTTTATTTGAGCAAACAGAAGTGCTACACATGTCGCACACTAAAATCAGGTTATTTCATCTCCACCGCAGACGTAACAAGTGGAACCACGGGTGATGAAGTTTGTCCTCCCAAGGTTTACCGCTTAAGCTTAAGAATTACTCCTCTATGCTCGTTCCAAGAAATTTATATCTAACTCCTAGATACGGAATTCAGTAACTTCTTAAGTTCTAAGATGTGATCGGATGCCGTATCGAGAGATGCTCAGTATTTGACAGACTTGTTTTCATTCAGGCGATGTGAGAAGTAGAGTGGATATCGGCTATTTTTAAGAAATACGGTTATTGCTGAGGAAATGGATGTCGTGATTCCTTCCTGTAGCCTGAAGCTACATCGTTTTACACTTTTGGAGATTGAAAGTCAGACTGCTCTAGCATGTCCGTTTCTTCAGTAGCATCGAAACAGGTTATTCATTGGGTAGCAAAGTGCTTCATAATGTTCATGTACGAGTTATTTCGATCCTTGTGTGGTTCAAGTTTCTATAAAACTATCGGGTTAACAGAAGGAGCTTTGAAAATCCCTTCTAAATGTTTGGTCGATACTATTGTTACTTTTATTATGCACAAACGGATGATTCGTGCATAAGAGTTGTGAACAAACTATTTCGGGCTTCTTCAGAAATGCATTTATCCACAAGTTTAAACCATGTTTACACAATATTCGTTACATTTAAACAGGTTTTGTATTATCTAGAAGATCATAACGTTTCAGTAATCTTCCTCCCTGCCTTGTAACTTAACTTTTAACAAGAATTCGTGTAGACATAGCTTTATATTTATCAATCTTGTTTTACCATATCATTATTATTGACTTTAGTTAAGATTCACTGTTATTAATGAATTTGTTGCATGATAACTGGTCATTGATGATGAGGTGTTTCTTGATTGAACCCAAGGTTACGGTGTGTGGCGGCTAACATTTGTTATTCTCTAAAAGACTTCTGTAAACGATTGACTGGATCATCGTGGGAACATTATTTTGTACTGCTTTGTTTAGAGTAGTCTCATTGATCATTTAGCGCTTGATAGCAACTTATTAACCGCTTTTCATTTGTTGTACTCGATGTTTCTTTGTAGTATAAACTGTATGGAGAAATCTGCATTTTGTGCGATTGAGGTATTTTGTGTGCATGATATAGTTTTTTCGTTTTTCCTCCACATTAGAACCTTTTATATTAGAGGCAAAGTTTGTTTTTCGATTAGTGTAATACTGATGATTCCGAAAGGCTTAATACATTATACAGACGAATATTATTCGACCTATCTAAATAGTCATCAGTTCGCTGTACCTTACCAAGTACTGGAATTCTGTTCATTATAAATAGCCCAAGCATTGAAGATGACACAGGTATTCAGTGTTTGACAACGCTTCAACCAGTAACACCTTCTAATATGATTTGTACCCACCGAGAGAAATCAAAAGACAGAGTCGAGGAGATCGGAAGAGTGTATTTGGCGATAACAAAAATATCGGAATTCTCTGATCTAATCTGGCTAGCGATTGCAGTTGATGTTGAGCACGGCGTTACCACACGTGATCTGGTGCGGATGCATGACCGAGCGCCTTCAGCTAGATGAGTCCACTAAAACATATGGTCAGCATCCAATGTCGGAAACTTAGAGCTATTTATTTTGGGGATTTATTTACCGCTACAGCATTACTCTCATATTGCCATACACTACTGCCACTATAGGGACATCAGTTCAAACAGTTATCTTTGACTCCAGAATTAGTTGTCTACCAATGTGCATGTTAAGGACTTCCAATCTATAAACAATATGTTTGATGGAAAAGTGTATATCAGCTGGTTTCCTTCTTCCTGGGGCTCAAAAATTCAGTTGCATGGTAACATCTCAGTCATTAAGAAAGTTTGTGGCACTTAGTATTATATCTTTCATAAGTAGATTATTTTAAACACGCTAAACTGTCTGATCTTTCTGGTTTACCATCTGCAAACATATTTGAACATAGAAGCTATTCGCCGATAACCTCAATTTTCTCTGCATGTGTGTATACGTTCGTGTGTATTGATGAATTACTGTCTTCATCTTGTTTTTCTGTCTGTGTAAGAATATCAGGTTGCACTTTGTCAAATTGTGTTAACACGTTTGTCTTTTATGATCAGCTTCTTTTCCTTTACTGTCTGTTTGAGTTAACGAATGTGTGGGACACCTTTTTCGCAATTCTATTCTCTTTTTCGACTCATATTATTTTGTTATTCTCTAGGGCGAACTAAGCTAATAAATGTAAACAACAGCAGGTGGAATATATATTTTGTTTACGTCATCATTCTACCATAATGGGGTCAGGCTTTTGGTGTATGAACGTTCTGACGTAGTAGTTTACTTCTCTTACAGATATGTTTAGTTTCATTTTATGGCAAATTAAGTAATGAGGCCAGAACCATGGTTTGTGAGCTCTAATAAAAGTCTTCATTCAATAAAGACCTAATTGACTATAATGGACGCTTTATATGTCGTCTCAATTTGAATATTTTTCCATAGTCAGTTTCTCGTTAGAGAGATATTAGTTTAAACGACACCTTGAAAAGAAATCGTCACATCGATCGCATACATCGCTTCTTCTCCCCGAACCACTAGACTTTACTTTAGCCAACAGTTGCTCTAGAATGTATAATTGTTGGAAAACTTAGTAGTCTTATGTCATCTTCAAACCTATCTAATATATGATCATGCTATTTTTATGGTAATCTTTTGGAGTGTCGTATGTTCTTTTGGTAAGTTGGTCGGGTACCCACTCATACCACATTGTGAAGTATAAGGTTGTTGATTCAGTTGACGTTTTGAATACTATTTTAGATATTGTTTCAGAGTCATGATAACACGCTACATACATATGTATATATGCACCAATTTTTCACTTTGTAGTAAACGATACTTTGTTAACTGTAGTTACCTGAATAGACTATTTATGATTGCAAAGTGAATATATTTTGTACACTCATATTGGTATTTGTTAAGTGATTACACCAGAACTTTGAACATTTCCTTATTTATGCATGTGTATGAATATATCTTTATCTATAATCTAAGTGGTTGTCTATCTACTCGTCAATATTTTATACACGATATACAATTATGTGCAAAATGAATTAATTATAAATAGAATGAGTTGGCTATGTGCCGACATCATGTTGTATCTATATATCTTCACTGAGATGACTGTATACTCATAAGCGAATCCCAAAAGTAAACATATCTACACTAAATTTCATATTTTGGATTTTTGATTATTTCATATAACGTGATTAGAAGATCCACGACGTTAAGTTAGTCCTACAATGTATTAATATTAGTACCGTTCGATCATAATGAAGTCAACAATAGATACTACAATTCAGTCCTTAGTAGAAATATATATCTTGAAAAAGTCTCAATAAGACCACTACATGAAAATTATTTGACATTATGGCATACATCGTTTGATGTTAGTTAATTGATCTAAATCAACAGAAAGCCTTGTCTCATCTTGGTTCCCTTCTTGTTCACTGTCATCATCAAGCTGAATATGAAAACTCAATGAATCTAATGTTTCTTATTGGGTTTGAATTTGTTTAATTCATTGATATAATTTAAGGCATTATCATATTATAGCCAATAGTACATTTATCTCATTCTTCAAGAGTAGTCTTCATAAACCTTCTTGAAATACGTAAACATGTTCTTTGAATAAGTTGAAAAAGAAATAAGAGTAATTTAAAGCATTTATACACAAGTATGATATATGTAAATACATATATATATATATATATATATATATATATATATATATATATATATATATATATATATATATATATATATATACATTTTTGTCATATTCATTCATATATATATATTTATATGCATGTTAGTTTGTCAATAAATGAATAAATAAGTAGAATTATATATAAGTAAATGGAAAGAAATGTACAAATCACAAAGCTTGATGAATAGGTTCTCTTTTTTCTTGATAAAGAATTTTTGAATCTTTTCATGTAGAAATTCTCCTTTCCAAAGTAAATCAAAATGAGAAAGAAACAAAAAATTGTTAAACATTTAAAGTAAGTTAGGAGAAAAGGGTACTACTATCAATCATAATAAGTATTAGTATTTGTATTTTTTATTATTATTATTATAATAGAATAGAAAATAAATCTATTATTATTCATCTGAGATAAATGTTGTTGTTGTTTTTTAAAATAAATAAAGAGGGATTTTATTCAAAAGGTTAAAGAGATTTCATAATTTTATATTATTCACAATAGTTTTGTTTATTCTCTTAATATTCTATTCATTTATTAGCTAATGAAATCTTTTCATTGCCATGAAGATAATTGAATAAGTTCAATTAAAGTAGAGTAAAATAGAAAATAAATAAGTCAGCGATAAAAAAAACAAATCAAGTTTACTATAATACATAATATTACAATGGTTTAATAAACCCCATTCAGAAATATACATTCATAATGCTAATAATAAGAAGAATAGTGACAATAATGATCATTGTACTCTATAATAAACAATTAATTTTAATAATATGAATTTTTTTTAATAATTATAATCTTGTATAAGAAGTTGAATCAGGTCTAGAATAAAATATGTCTAAATAATCAGGTAGAGTTGGATTCTCTTGTCCAACAGGATAAAGTAATAATTGTTGATTATTATTTCGTCCTAAACTATGCACCTAAAATTAGTTTTAAAAAAACAAAAATTAAATGAATAGAAATGAGTGTTTATCATAGTGTTCAGCACGAAACGGTATAAATTATTAAACCATTTTAATCTAAGAAGTATTGTCCCTAATATGCGACACATCAAGAGTATTCATCAATTATCCTCGGTCAGTCAGTCAGTCAGCTACAACGTGGGACCAAACACATATGTGCATCGGTCCAAGTGGCCACACATCATCAGTACAACGAGATGAACACCGCATTCATAAATGTAGCTAATTCAATGGTAGTAATATAAAAAAGAAAGATTGCATATAAGGATATAGTAAAGGAAGAACGAATTACTTTGTAGAAAGAAAGACATAAAGCAGATTCAATCTCATAGTTCAAAGAAAGACAAAGAGTGTATACACCTACTACACTGTGATCAATTCTGAGTCAAGACTACGGTGGCACAGTCTCCAACCATTGGTTACGATAGTCACACGGACCACAATCAAGTAGTCTACATCTGTCAACTTGGCTAAGACTAAAAATTAGTGACTTCAAAGACCGATGTCACGTTTCGGTTTGACCAACCCTAACTTTCTCCCAACCATCATCAACACTACTCAGCATTGTGCGTCGTGGTAATCGGTGTTAAGGTATACACAACACATTACCCAACCATCTCAGTCGATCAAGACTCACAATCTCATCAACTGACTTACCATCATTCCCTAATAGCTTGAGTCTAACCTCACCACTACTTATATATATATATATTTATATATATAATATAGTTTCCATAATTTACAAAGACGCTCTGTAATTCTGAACAGAATTATAAATTGGTTTCCCCGCCAATTCCTCGATCACTTCAAGTAAACTGTTGATTGAAAATGATGTTATTACAATGTGATCTTTAATTTTCTTGATATGCAAACATTATGACTGGTATTCAGTTAATTGCAACAATTCTCTTTCCCTTGTTTACTCTTGTATCTGTCCCAATTTTTCAAATGAATGTCTTGTGACCACACAAATTAAAACAAAAACTCTTTTACCATATTTGAGCATTTCAAATGATAATTGATTTTATATACGACTAGATAGATAGTCAACATTTTAAAGTAGCAAATAATACATTTCAAATCCAACATATTCGTATTACTCAAGATAAGAGTTGTAGTTTTACTTAAAAACAATGAAAATCAACTTACAGAATAAAATTTCACAAGATCTCTTAAATCGGTGAATTGTTCAGGATTTGCAACACCATACAATTGATAAGTACTCTTAGTTGTATTACGTGAACCAGAATTGGTTTGTTTCACTGCAATTACCGATACAAGGAAATGATTGCAATAGGATGATGTAAACAAACTGATAACATAACCTAAAAATGATTCATTTAAATGTAGAAGGAAACTGCCATTTTTATCAGTTTTAGTGAGCAAACGTTCAGCTTGTTCACGAGAGAGAAATCCTAATAAAGAGAATTGAAGATAAGTAATCTGTTTTATCAGGTAAAATAATCATTAGAAATAATAAATTAACTTTCAACAGTATACCAATCAAACTTTTAATAATTTGCATTGAATTTTCTCAATAAATGTTCAATATTTTACAATTTTTGTCATTTCTATGTAAAATATAATCGACGAATTATTTTACATTAAACATACTTGGACAAAATATCAAGAGATCATGATTGAGTTTATCTTCAACGTTTCAATATTCACTGAGTATATCTTATAAGAGATTATGGTCATTTTCCGATTCATTTAGTGGATGAGCGACTTATTTCAGTGTAGTTTTCGTAACAAATTTTATTCTAACCTCTAAATTTTCTCATATTTTTTGTTTCGTCATCCGGGATTTCGAGATCTAAACAGTTGTGAATAACTTTGGCTGCTTAAACTAAAACGTCTAATTAAAACTACAATTCAATGGGAAATTATACACGATTCACTTAAATCCACTAGATCGAAACCACCACGACTCTATGGTTTAACTGAAGTTCACAAAGCAAACCTCCTCTACGTCCGGTTTTAGATATGTATAATTCACCTTACCATAAAACTGCAAAGCGACTAGTTTGAATCCTAGACCCCGAACTCAAACTAGTCGTCAACAGAAGCGTTGCATTTCCAAAGTTGAACATATGAACTTAAACGGGAAACGAATGATGTTTCTAGATGTTGCTTCCTTGTTCACCAATGTGCCTTTAACTGAGACTATTGACTTTTTGTGCCAACAACTACTTGGTATTCCTGAGGTAATTCTCAAGAAATTACTTCTGGAATGTACAATCAATGTCCGTTTTGTCTTTAATAACACAAAATATAGACAGATTGATGGTATAGCTATGGTTTCACCTCTAGATCCTGTCCTTGCTGATTTTTTTCTAGCGAAACTAGAAAACGGAACTCTCAAAGAGGTTATCAATAAGCTTGACTTCTATTATCGTTACGTTGATGATACTTTCATTATTGTCGGTCAGAACATCAGAAAAGAAGAACTCTTAGAACTATTTAACAATAAACATCCGGCAATTGAATTTACGTTTGAAGAAGAACTAGATAATAAACTAAATTTCCCCGACAGAAAGGAAAATAGTTCTATCAGTAGAAGCGTGTATAGAAAAATTTCTTCATCAAGCCAGTACACATATTTCTTGAGCTTTGTACCCCTTCATTATAAGAGAAACCTAGTCTAATGTCCTACAAATTGAGCTAGGAAGATATGCTCAGTCAATACGATAAACAAGGAATTATATCTAATACATAATATGTTGATTGGAATGGGTTATCCACAAAGTTTCTTGAAGAAACAATTGCATGTAACAAACAAGAAAATAACGACATCAACGGCTAGTGAGAAAACTTTCTTCCTAAAGCTGCAATTCAATCGAGATGTAGCTGGTGGTGCTACGTAATAGGCTGACTAGAGCAGTTAAGAGAACGTTTAATGCAGCCAACCTCTGTCTATTGTACTCCACCCGATCTATGGTGATTCCTCAACTGAAGGATGAGTTACCTGATCATGCCACTTCTATATGCATCTACGACTTCAGCTGCTCCTGTGTAGAAAGCTCTATTGGGCGCACTACCAGACAAATGAGTCAAAGAGTTAGTAAACACCCCCTTCTTGGTTAGGTAAAGGTGCGTCAAGACAATACGCAGGTCGGTTCTATCACAGTTGATCGAAAACGGTCATGTAGTAGAGAGAAGTAGGTCATTTAAAGTTATTTATCGTATTCCTACTCATTTACCTTATGGGGTTCGATCTCGCCTCTTACACACAGCAGAAGCTATAGGAATTCGAAAAAACAATCCAAGTGTTTGTGTTCATAAACTGTTAACACCTTTATCTCTACCTTGGCCCTCTTAAATAATTTTATTTATTGTTATTTTCCATACTCTTTATTTTTCTCACCCCCTCCCACCGTTTTCTTTTTTCTCAAATATACGTTTCCCGGTCCAATTATCTGAGCACTTTTTATTACGCAATCTAATAATTCTGATGAATGTTATTTCAGTGTCTATATTTCTGTAATCATTGTCCTATTTCGTATTATGTAACATTGATTCAAGCCTTTATTATCCTTATCACAACTAGTACACCTGTCATCACACTACCAATTTGTACTTTTCACTTATTTGTGTAATCTATTCCACTGTTATCACTGACTTACAAACTGCATTGATTGGTTTAATAGTTTTAAATATTACTGTATATTAGAGTAAAGCCTGATGAGGATCTAATGGAAAACAATATTATTCGCATATATATATGTTGTTCTAAATTCAATAAGCACCACTAATCCACTAAATCAATACAAAAATGACTGAATACCCCAAGTACGACACAACTAATGGATAAGGAAAACATTTCGAAAAATCTCAGCATGATACTGTCAGTAAACACCGAAATATTTGGTAAAATTTCATTTTTGTCTTTGTTTTGTAAAAATAATAAGTGGTTGTGATGATTCTCACAAAGAAAATATTTTAAAATGTCTGAGAATGATGATGAATATCAACTGATTATTTCTGAAATACTTTTTGATACAGATTTTTTTCTACCATTCACAAGTTAACTGGATATACGATGGAAAATTGTTGTAATATTGCATATATGGTGCTACAAATCCCTTACTGTAAACAAGTTACATAATACTGAATAAAAACATCAATATTACTCTTATTACTATTGCTACTTTATTTAATTTCATGACTTTTAATTTGTGGGACAAACGAAAGCGAAGGATCAATGTACATTTAACTTAATTATTATTCACGAAACGAGAATATACCCAGTCTGCTTAAATAAATAAGTTTTACTGCGTTACTTTGTCAACTGTGATAAAGCCGCATTATAGAAAACACGGGGCTAAGTATCTCTACTAGCATAAAAAATAATCTGAGCATAAAGTATTGACGGATATTACTTAGCCCAAATAATGTAAATGATAATTAGCCGTAATATTTAGCTTAACTAATAGAGGTTTATTAAAAATATATAATCTGTTGATACTAATACAAGGCCTACTTAGTAAAGGAGTTGAATATCGAATTACAGGAATAGGGAAACAGTTAGATATAAGTATGTATTCCTATGTTTTAGGGCCTAACGAAGCTGTATAGTTGATAGATACGTCTAAAAACACATTCGAAACCCTGTGTAATACTAAACTAGAGTTAAGTATAGCATGATAATGAAACATAACCTCTAGGTAATAATATTAGTCAAACTGATTCGTAATTTTTTCTTATTTACGATCAGGTAATTCACTCAGGTTTCAAAGGACGACGTCAGGGAAGTACTTTATTTCAATAAAAATCTCATGTAATTGTAATTAGTAGTTGACATCGCAAAGTATTTAGTAAAATTTTTGCAAGCATTAAATCTTTTGACTAACCGTGGAACCATTCAGGTACACGTGAAAATGTCAACGACGATAAATTTGGACTAAAACCAGTAATTGGTAAACCGAAATCCACAAGTAAACGTGCAGCTTCACAGCTTTCAAACCATTTGTAAACTTTAGTTTTAGGATCCTCTTGAATTACATTGTTAACTTTACGTGATAACTTAACATCCGGTGTCCAAAACGCAGGTCGTGGAAATACTGATGGAGGTGAACTAATTCTACTAAATGTTGAATTTAAACTCTCTGTAAAATGAAAATAGTTTCGAAGTAAAACAGTAAAAATTTATAACTGTGCAAAGAAAAACTATGGTTTGTGAATTAAAAAATGATTTTTTTAAATAGAAGTTAGCTATAAGGTGGATTGATTTTAGATAGGCTATCAAAGAAAACCAGAAAGCATGTAAAATTATTTTATTCTGGTATGTGACTACTTAAAAGTGCGAAACTACTACTTTACAATCGAATTGACTTTATGTATCTTCTAAATATTTTGGTGCTTTATACATTCACGCAACATCAATAAAAATATTCAACTATACTTTTAACATGGTGTTTGTGTGTGTGAGTTGTTTTATTCTCAATCACTGGTTGTGACAGTCTATAAGAACGGACAAAAGTCCTCTTGTGGCAATCACAAAGGAATCAGTCTGACTAATATGGTCTTTAAAATATTAGTTTTAATAACACTTAGACGCGTAACGAAAGCTCGCGCAGAGCAGACTAGAGAAAACCAGGCTGGTTTTCGACCTGGACGTGGTTGTATAGACCACATATTCACACTACGTCAGATTCTAGAACATAAACACATATTCAGACGTCCCACAATAGTAGTATTTCTCTGCCTTAAGGAGGTATTTGACTTTGTCGATCGTGAGGTTCTATGGCAGTGTTTGTCACCGAAAAGAGTATCAAAACTTACATCAACCTTATAAAGGCTCTCTACTCGAACACAACTGGCCGAGTGAGAGCTTATGGCTACTTTTATCAGAATTGATTACCTCAAGTGGTGTTCGTCAGGGCTGTCCACTCTCTCCATTCTTGTTAGACTTTGTTGTTGAAGTAGTTTTAGAGATAATACTTTCATCATCTAAATTTCCAGTTTAACATTTACTAGGGGCGGCCAGACCAAAACATGGCACAAGTCCATGAAGTCACTGACAAGTGGACTGAGTCGTGTTGGTAGGTGTAGACTACCTGGTTGGGGACCGCGAGATGATAGCAACCGATGGTTAGAGACCCTGAATGACATGGCTCAAAATCGTTTGCAATGGCGCAGGTGCATACACTCTTTGTGTTCTCCCAAATTCTAATCTTCTGAATTCTTCATGTCCCTTTTCTTCGCTTTTCAAATTTATTTTACTGGTTTGTACTCCATTAATAACATCTTTAAACCCTAATGTTTCCGATTACTGCTTATAATTTTACTACCACTACCACTACGGGATTTGAATAGACAATTATATCTCTGTGGTAATGTGGTATGGCAACGTAAACTGATGTACGTACGTACGGAGTTCTGTGTTGTTGCTGACTGACTAGTTTGAATAATCTGTCCATCCGAAAACCATATTGTACATATTTAACAACTTAATAATATTTTTGAAGAAACAAATAACTTACGAATATTATCAGTATGATTTGAAAGCGGTTGTACTGATGATAAATTATCATTATTATAGTTATTATTATTCAGTGTTATTCTTTGTTGTGGTTGTTGATGTTTTATCAATGATGATAGTTGTTTGTTCTCTTGTCTTAATTGTTGTGGTTCAGGTTGTTTTGTAAAACGTGTCATCATTGTATGATTAGATGGATTTGACGAAAATGTAATCGATGAAGATATTTTATCTAATTCCGATGTTGATGATGAAAATGATGGGTCGATCTGATCATAATTTTGATGCGACAAATTATAGGGATTATTTAATAAACTGATTCGATTAAAATGGCTTTTTGTTATGGATAAATTTGTATTCTCTATGGCAGAACTAGGTGGAGTTCTTTCACTTATATGATGATTTTGATGAATTGGTGCTGGTGATATACTGGTTGGTGTTGTTACTGAAGGACTACTTAATGGACTTCTGGTTAATACAAAACGTTTCAATGTTTTGTTTGTGGTTGCTGTTGTTCTTGGTGACAATGGCATTGCATCATCAATGGATACATCACTTCCTTGGTTCGTTGTATTAGAAGGGTCGTTGAGAATAGTAATAGAACTATTAATATTATTATTAGGACGATTATGCATTGTGAAATCAAATGCATTCTTGGTATCATAGGAATTCTTAAGATTCATACTACTGTTATTAATTTGTTTATTATTATTTAACTGTCTATCTAAATCTAAATAATAATTTCGATTATTACTAGTAATACTACTAGTACTACTGTTAATACTGCTACTAACATCGATACTGTTATAATCAGGATTAGTTGTTCTCATTATAATATTACTAGTATCGACATAGCTATTATTATTATTGTTGTTATCATTACTGTCATAAGGTGTGGTAGTTGTCATAACTACAGAAGTATTATTACGATTATTGTTGGATATACATATAATAAGAGTGTCAGTGTTATCGGATTCTTGATGTTTGTAATTATTTCTATGGTTATTTGTATCAATATCATTATTCTTGAACTCCGTGATTTTCTCTTGACTATTCATTTGTACTCCTTTTCCTCCACCTTTTCTTTGTATATCAATTCTGGCATTATCATTATTATTATTATAAAAATCGTTAGAATGAGAATATAAATTAAGGGTAGTTTCAATTTCTGGTGAATAAAAATGATTTGATTGTGTAGCATTTTTTGTCATGGTTGCAACTGTTTCATTTGTTATTAATGGAGCGTTATTATTATTCATTCCTTTAAAAGAATTCTGATTATTTTCATTATCTTGTATAAAAGGTTTGATAACAGAAATATATTGTCCATTTGCTTGACATGGAATATTTTTATCGTTATGATCATTATTAATTTTATTACTATTAGTATTATTATTATTATTAATATTATTATTATTATTATCAATGATATTGTGACAATTTTTACAATGTCCATTCATGGTAGGAACATTACAACTTGTAGTATTATCATTGTAGTTTGTAGTATTAGATAAGGATGGGACAAAATGATTATTCCTCTGTTGATTTAAGTTTAATTTTCGATTGAAAGGTGTTGGAGATAAAATAAAGACATGATCATTATTATTATTATTAATATTATTATTACTATTATTACTACTGTTTCGACAATTGTTATTTAATGAAGATTTAGAGTTATTATTAGCAACACTTAACACATCTGAAATACTAGAATCAATTGTTTTACTAGTTGTGTTTATAGATGAATTTGTTGGTGCCGTAGTTGAAGAAAAAGAATAAGATGATGAATCATAAGTGTATGATGTAGAATCATGTTCTGAAACGGATGAATCAAATGATCCTTGGATTAAATTTGGTTGAATTAGACGTACACTATTTTCATGACGCTGTTTATAGGAATAAGTAAAACAAGCGTACACGGTTAAAATATGACACACTGAATGCTTTTTGCTGCCAATAAAGATAAAAATCTAGTAAGTCAATCCGATTTATACCATTATTAGTGAGAATTTGAGCTAGTCTGTGATTAATATTCAGGATTGAAATTCAATAAGTCATTGTTGGTGTGTGAATCCTGTTCTGATTGCCCTGATGTTGTCATTTTGACATAATCTATGTAGAATACACAGATTATGCATAGCTGTGAAATGAAGGAAGAACGTTTTGTAATGTTTAGAACACATCAGCTAGATTCATCTACTACATCTGAGTGTAACTGTGAACACCAACATCATGGCTCAGGTATATCCAAGTGACAGTTTACAAACTAAATAAGACGTGCGACGTGAATTCTACTGCAAGATACGATCCGTCCGTTTTTAATAAAATCGTTTAGTTTACTGTATTTATTGAAGATACCAAAAAGGAGCTTCAGTCACTAATATATATTTGGGTGTTTCTTGTGTCTGTAATTATGAAGCTTATCGACCACCAGATACTTGAATTCACGTTGCTCAGACATATCTGCGAAATTTATTCAAAATTGGTCCTTGGATAGAATGATATTCTTCACTCCTTATTATCCAATAATTTAATAATTTAATTTCTGAAGATATATATATATATATATATATATATATATATATATATTTAATAGTTAAGACTAAATATTTAGTCTACAAACTTCAAGAGTTCATTTTTAATGCCTTTTGTACAGGTCTACAAAATCAAGAACTGATTTATCGTATTTTCGGATTTTGCCAGCAGAGAAACTGAGGATGAGTATTTTACCCTATTTAAAACTACACAATCACAGTATTTAGTCTCAAACTAAGACGAGAACACATTCAAAGTGATTTTGAGTACTGTTGGCGGTGTGAGTAGTGATACTGATTTCCGGTTTCCCATATAATGAAATGATAGTTCTTTTTGAGAAACCTGAAAACAGAACAGCGGTATTGATAGATTTGGAGAATTACTAAAGAGCCTAAAAGACAAATACTTGATATCAAAAAGACATGGGCATTTAACTAGTGATCATAGATATACTAGCTCCCTACTTTAAAAGCCTTAGCTAAAGATAACAAAATCAGTAGCCTTATCAAAACTACTTTTTGTTAGAAAATAAACATGAACACAATAAAACAGGAGAAATTAAAATCATACTCACAAGGAAAAGTGTAAATATTTGTATTGATATTGAATTTACTTATTTCAACTATATCAGCCATCCGTCCTCGATTATAATTTCGTTATTTATCTTTATGATGAATATTTAAGCGCTTAATGATAAGACTATAATTAGTTTCCCTAGTTAAAACACTAATATCTTTGTTTATTCTACCTCACTGTTACCTTGTTTAACAGAAGTTTATTATCACTGTTATTGTAATTATCATCATCCTCAAAAACAAATATATATATTTGCGATGGTACAGCAATGAAAATGAATTCGCCGAAAATGGAACTCTTCTCTGAACTAATCTTTCTTATTCTATATTTCAATAGGTATATTCTGTTTACTTTTATCAGTTGTATCTGAATTAATAACGCTTATATTCAAACAAACAGATAATGGGAAACAAAACAATTGAATAAACAGGTCTAACATTTTTCATGCCTAAACTATTACACTTCTGTACAAAATATTTAGCATAAAGTCTGTTTATAAACAATCAGGTTACAAAGCTACTATAACCATTTATTCTGTAATATTTATTGTAATTCTTATATAACATTTAGTAAGTTACTAGTAAGAAGTTATCAGGGTCCTGTACTCGCGGACTGATCTTAGTTAGACGGCTATTGAAAAAACAGAAAGCATTAGACAACCGTTTTATCATGGTATGGAACTCTTTAGCAGAGGGTATCAAGTACCCTACAGAGGATTGGACCCGGCATCTTCAAGTACTATAGTGAGCCCATAACCTTTAGACCGCTTAGTCACCACTCAGTGGTTTATAGTGTTAACTCCAATCGTTTCTCAATGTCGTGCAACAATCTTTCTATTCGTCTGACATTTACCTATCTCAAACTCGACACCTTCGAACTCCAATAGTCACGTCATCTCACCAGAAATCCAGAAACACTCAATGAAGTAAGCTACTAGTGAGCACAATATCGTGAAATAGTTGACAAGAGGTATGCACTATGTTAGATGTTGTCTCAGTAATTTAAAGGCCAAGTGCTCACCATGGCACTTGAAGGTCCTGTGTTTTGCACCGATGGAATTGTGAATGCACACTGTCGAGGAATCTTTTGCTAAGACAAAACAGCTACCCACTCTTCTCTATCTATCAAAGCATGTCTAACTTAGGTTGGTTTGTGATATGAATAACATTTAGTAATCTTCACTATCGTGTGTATTGATAAAAATAGTTATGTAAAATAAAATATCATAAATTTCTTTGCAACTGGACTTTCTGAAGAGTATCTCAAGTGTAATGAATATAAAACTTCATGAACCTATAGTTTATGACATTGCAAACTAACTGAAAAACTGAACTACAATCTAATTGAGCTCTATCATAATCTAATCATGTTTTTTCAGTGATTAATTAACATCAGTGTAAAATGAAAGAAAACTTCACGTTAAAGTAACGAATGGATGTTTTGAATCATTTGGTAAGAAATGGCACAAAATATTGATTGCCATCTTGTATAAGAATTGTATTACTTTTTAAACAGACTAAAATATGATTCATATATTTTTACACAGGTTGTTGAAATGAAACAATTTATGTTAGTCCGTCATGAACCGTGTAGAACCCGAAATATATATGCAACCATTAAAATTTCTACACAACACATAAGCATAATGAAATGAAAACACCAAGAAAAATGTTAGAGTAGTTAAAGCGCTGATAGTATGAAAGGAAATGGAAAGCATTAGGCATGACTAATATAATCGAAGAGGAAAACATTAATTCAGGAAATACGAAGCATAATTGTGAAAATCAAGATCTCAGAGAATCCCAAAAGTGAATGAATCTGTTCTATTTTGACTGATGATGAATTATGTCATCCAATATCATCAACCATCTGTCATGATGATCAGATTAACACCAATTAGGTATTCAATACTTAATATTCGACTCAGTCGAACGGACTGAGTCATACTGATGCCATGTCCTGGTTTGGATACACCTAGTTTTGCAACGAAACTCAAGACGCTATATCACAATAACTTCAAAGTAAATATTCAGTGTTCCACTATTACAGTAGAACGATAACATTTAGAAATTAATTTAAACTTCTACGAAAAAATTCATCACCTGTTTATCATTTCTATATGCCATACTTGCATTATCTGTTGAATATGATACATTAGTCGCACTATTTGCAACGGAACTGCTATTTAAAGTATCAGTCAATGTCGTAGTTGAAAATGTTACATTTGTTGTAAAAATTGACTTGATTGTTGTTGGTGTTGTTATCGCTGTTGATGTTGTCGTTGTTATTGTCGTTCTCGTTGATGTTGTGCTATTGGTGGTCATCGTCGAATCCATATCATTTAGTTCTGAAGAGTTTGATGGTGATTCAAACTCTCTAATAAGAACAATTGATTTAAATGAATCATTTGATGTAGTCCCCGATGAACCGTAGCCATCGGAGCTAAATTTCAAGAAAAAAATAAAATGATATTAGAGGAGGTAAACAACAACTATTTATTGATTAAGTTCATAATTAATAATTCTTTCTTATGAATTCACTTTCAATACTGAACAATCATATTGATTTAATTATTCTTGAAAACGATAATTGATCATAACTAATTAGTTAAACGTACACAAATCAGTTCATCTGATCATATGGAACAAATAGTTAGGATATTTTGTTAAAACCTTTTCTACTAATTGCTTAACTTTCGTAGAACGCCTGGATGAAGGATATTTAGGTTAGGCTTTTGGTATCGGACAAAATAAGAAATTACTTTACTAAAATGATTAATTATTTCATTTGTTAACTAGATCTCAAATAATACCCATATGCTTAATGTCAGTAATCTAAAGATTACCACTTATTATATCAATGGATGTTTATAAGCATATGAAAAAAAAGTTTTAAAACTTGTAATTTAATATATTTATGAAACAAATTAACATAAATATTAAGAAATAAACATGTTGGAGAAAAAAATCCTCTTTTTTTCTTTCTTAATCTAAATATTCTATAACTTTACACAGATTTTGAAACAATATGCTAGTTTGATGTTAATATTATTAAGAGTATTAAATTTGATGTGAAATTCAGTGTTCATAGTAATTGGACAGTAAACATTTGTTCGATTACATTCAGATGTTAATTTTGTTTATAGTATATATATGATGGGATGCGTTTCTTCCTATCTAAATTTAATTTGTTGCTTCAGGGCTGGCCTGCGTCAACACCTAAACTAAGGATAGGGAGTGAAGTAGTCGAAAGCGTTGATAACTTCACTTATCTTGGAAGTATGATTAGTTCTCATGGGTTGATATCTAATGAAATCTCTGCACGGATTCAGGTAGCTCATTTGGCTTTTACCAACGAACGTCACTTATGGCGAAGGTGAGATATCCGTCTGCCAATTAAAGGACGAGAATACTGCTCAGCAGTTCTTTCTGTTCTAGTTTATGACTGCGAAACGTGGTTATTAAGAGTAGAAGATACTCGTAAGCTACTAGTATTTGATCACAGATGCCTCAGAAATATTGCGCGCATTTCCTGGCATCACCGTTTAAGTAGTGGTGAGGTTAGACTCAAGCTATTAGGGAATGATGGTAAGTCAGTTGATGAGATTGTGAGTCTTGATCGACTGAGATGGTTGGGTCACGTGTTGCGTATACCTTAACACCGATTACCACGACGCACAATGCTGACTAGTGTTGATGATGGTTGGAAGAAAGTTAGGGTTGGGCAAAGCGAAACTTGGCATCGGTCTTTGAAGTCACTAATTTTTAGTCTTAGCCAAGTTGACAGATGTAGACTACTTGATTGTGGTCCGTGTGACTATCGTAACCAATGGCTGGAGACTCAGAATCGATCACAGTGTAGTAGGTGTATATACTGTCTGTCTTCCTTTGAACTATGAGATTGAAACTGCTTTATGTCTTTCTTTCTACAAAGTAATTCGTTCTTCCTTTATTATATCCTTATATGCAATCTTTCTTTTTTATATTACTACCATTGAATTAACTACATTTATGAATTTGTTGTTCATCTCGTTGTACTGATGATGTGTGGCAACTTGGACCGATGCACATATGTGCTTGGTCCCACGTTGTAGCTGACGGACTGATGTATGTGATTAATTTAGTCTGCAAAAATTATTTACCATGTAGAGAAAGACTAAAATCCGAAATTATACCCATCCTCGACAATTCAAATAATATAAATTAATAAGACGACAGAGTGTCATTATACCCCAGAAGTTATTGATTTATAAATGAGGAGACACATTATCTGTAAATGTTATATTCATTTCTACCCAAGCCATTTTATTTACTAACAACAACATACACTTACTTGTCTAGTCATTTCTTATAACTGTATATAGTTCCGACTACTGTTGATTAATTTAGTAGTATATAAACCGATAACTACGTATTTTACAAAAATAACCTGTTCTCATAAAATTATTGTATTTAATTTTACACCTAATTTCAAGCATAATATGACCATGAACAGTAAAACTTGAAGCAAACTATCAGGTAAAATTTCAAAAGTGTTTTATTTAAGTAGTTAGGATTTCTGCGAACATAGTTCGATCCCAACAAAAAAGAATGTTTACTTAGTTATAATGTTTGAATTCATCTTTAATTTAACATTACTGTTAACAATGTGATTGATCTGATTTTATACTTACTGCCACAAGATTATTTTATTCATATTTACTAATAGTTTTAAACAATGATCAATTTACACTTAACATTCTCTAACTGTTTTATTCTCTAAAAGGTACCCACACATTCATGTCATTTTTACATGATAAGCGACTTTCACAACATATATCTCATAAAATTGCTGTAAAGAAAATGAACACGATTGGACGAATGTATAATATGGTTTTGTTGGTAAAATTTATATATTCTTTGATAATGCTGATTTTGACTATTTCCCTGTAGATGCTCATATCACTTTGCTGAGTGAAATTTTTCAGTCACTGGGATTATTTCATATGTGATCTTTTATATAATAAGTGCAGAATTTCTATCAAACTATTAGTTTATATTTCAGCGCATGTTTATGTAGATAGTTTGTTTAATAAGATGTTTTTAACCGAATTTCAATCTTGATGAAAACGCATACACATTATTTGGAGTTGATTTCGTTATCTCTGTCATTCAGTAAATGAAATTTGTCACAACTGAATATTTGATGTAATTACTGCACTTGCGTTAATAAATAACTACACACTAAGAATGGTTAAAAGAGCACTTGAAGGATAAAAATGATTAAAGATACATGGATAAATTGAAACTCAGTTATTTGACGGCAACACACCTAAAGGTGCTAGATTTAATTCTCGAGGAGGTCAAGGGTGCACACTGGTGATGCGTTTCATACTAGAATGAAGTAGCTGTTCAATCCTCCTTGACCTTTATTCGTTGTATTAGTAAAGTCTTAGTTCAGAGTGCAATTTTTACAAAGCATTTCATCTTAACTTCTATCTATTATCATATTTGTACTGTTTATAATAAATATCTGGCCGCATCAAACACAACATATTCAAAATCAGCTTCAGTGAACGATTTCACCGGGTTGGAATAAAATTCATCACGGAAACTACATTCCAATGTTTAACACCGACACATCAAATGAAAAGGAAACCGACCAAAATTGATAGGTAAGACACACTTAGTAAAGACAAAAAATAACTGTTAACCGTGTCCTATCTATCTGTGTTTTGGGCATTCCTAACTAATTTTTAAAATACCTCATAATATATTAATGTTAATTTATTGATATCACAGTGTGATTGTTCGTCAACCTTAGACGTTTAATGTAGTCACATGTAAATCATGATTTTACAACAGAAAACACTTCCTATCACATTGAATCAATAGTATAGTGCAACGTTTTGCATGTTCTTCAGTGATACTATCAATATAAAAGTAGTTAAAGAAAAGATGCTAAGATCTATAGATACTTACATATTATCATACGATTATTAGTTCAAAAAGTCAACATTCTAAAATAAGTATGAATAATTAGTAACTTTTAAACTTTGAAAGGACAGTGTTTATTTAGATTAAAAAACTTCGTCAAAAAAAAAACAAAACAAATGACAGACTAAATGGTTTATTTCATAGACTGATATTAAAAAATCATTTAAAATATGAAAGCCCTGTATAGATTTCAGTATGGATCTAAGGCAGTTACTGAACAATGGCATCGGAAGATAAACAAGAAATTTTTATTATTTTTATCATGTAGTATACTTCCGAGGAATTTCCCACATCTTTATTCCTATTTTATTCAACACAAACTATTATTAGTATTTTTTATGGTAGTAGCAGTCATTTATCTACTCAACTCAGGGTCTATATCGTCTTCTGCAGACCAGTATACCATACATATCATACTTACTGTATAAATTGAGTTAGCTTAATGAGACGATTCAAATTTGTATCTAATGGCTGAAATGTAGACAGTCTAGTCTGTGAGCTAACACCTTATCAAGACTAAGCATAACCGACCAAAATACACCTTATTTAGTGTACAATAATGAAACTTTGGCTAATTAGTCAATCAATTGGCCTTTGTATAGTGCGCCGGTACAGAGAAAAGCATAGAAATGTCAACGGATGTCGAATATTATGATTACATTATTTACCTAAGCTTATAGTATCATTTAATAAAAATCAAATGGAAACCTTTAAAGGCAATAGATTTTTGTAACTTAGATCAGTTCGCATCGGAAGTGACATCATCTGGACAGCTATTTGTAACTTTGAAACAAAGAATAGCAACTTCGTCCAACTGAAGAAATCTGTAATTCTTCAAAACCAAAAAGGAACAGAGCAAGACGTCTTCGTGTCTTCAAATCAGCACACCACTTTTAAACCAGTGAGTTAGAAATCACTGGCTAATATTCACGACTTCAGTTAATTTTACGTATTTAAGAATACCATTAACCGAATTTATCGCCCATAGCTCGTCATTATAAGCTTAAGAATTTCCCTGCAATATATTTGCTAGTGAAAGTGTATATCTTCACACATTTTTGAAAATAATTTTAACTGTATACGAAAATGTATTCGTGAATGTTTGTATCTTCCCGTTGTTGGTGCTAAGGACTAGGACCAATCTTCTCTGAATGCATATAAACTAATAATAACTGATCTGTCGCAGACCTAAACAACAACAGCGGGAAGATATCAACATGTATAAATACTCGTTGAATATGTTAAAAACTGAACACCTCATTTTTTCATGCCTAAATGTATCTTGTATTTGATACATTCACAGTGATACCTTATTTTTACTAACCTGTATTTTATCTTTACAAATGAATCAATGTTTAACTGTGGCATATACAAATCTATTCACTATGATTTTTATAGACTTGATTAACTTTTATTTATATAAACAGAACGTCAAAAATTATATTAGCTAGTTTTCTTGTTTAAAAC